ACAATGATTTTAATAGAACACGTTGCTATAATATGCTCGAATGACAATTATACTAAAAATTAAATTGTAACACAATCCCTGAAAGACTACATACGCAATATTTAAAATGTATAAATGTACATGGTCATTTCGACTAAATGTTGTATGAATACAATTTACAGCTAAACTATGTTAATTTATTTAAGGTATACAACTATTTATACGATGCACAACACAATTAGAATCCTTAGATTTTTTAACGTAAAAAATTCCGGTTTACATCATTTATTGATTCTTGTCGGGGTGCATGATTCCACATTATTTTTACGTGCAATTTGTTAACTCGTACACGCAATCCGTATACTATTATACATACTTTTCCGAATACAAAATAGAAGTTCACAACCATAAACAGAAACTGAACCGTACAGATATTTAAACAATTTGCAAAATATGCCATGTGTTGACAACATTTTATGAGACAACGTCAATTTCACTGAAATTCTATTCCCGACTAGAATATTTTGCATATACGTTACACGAATATAAATTATATTGCTTAATGTATTACATTTATATGTGTAACACTTGGATAGCTATTTGCTTACAGCCATTATACCCCAAAGATTTCAATAATCCGTCATCATAAACTTTATGGTTTTACTGTTTAAGACAATATTATTCAAATCACAACCAATTGATGTGTTTTGCTTTATATATTATAACGACTAATGAGATACGTCTGTATCTATAATTTATATCGATAGATATTTACTATTAGAGTCCAATATAAAATTAAACTATTTTCTATATAGGAAACTAAAATAATACATGTTGTATAGACATTGAATATTAAACATAATGACATCCAAAAAATGTATATGTTAAAATGTTTTTACTAACTATATATTGTAAAAAATCACCGCGGGTATTTTTTTTTGAATGGCATAACATTTATTTTTTGATCCATTTTATTCACATAGTTCAAAATGTTGTTAGGTGATTCAATATACTTAATTTCATAAACTTAGAAAATTAAAACGATTTCTATAAATCTATTATTTTTTTTATATTCACGCTGTAACTGTAACATATCGAAAATATTCAGCAATTCGTTGAAATAAAAAAAATAATGAATGATTAAAATGAGTTTAAAATAGTCTTTAATAATAGTTATTTATTTTTCTATTAACCAATATGATTTTTGTACTAATTCTTACAAAAAAACATAGCATAAATTACATATTATATTATAGTACCTACTATTGTAATATTATAATCATGTTTTGATTTACAAAAAAAAAAAAAAAAATGATTTCAGCCATTAATAGGTATTGAAAACTAAAATAAAATATTTAAAACAGAACTCACATACAAATATACTATTAAAAGCAAGAAAATATGAATTATTTTTAAATAATTTAAATATAATGAAAATTAGTGCAATTTTTGTATGGTAATACAGTATTGTCAAAAAAAAAAAAAAAAAAAATGTAATAATTAATGATAATTAAAACACTTTTCAGCTTTAATTTTCAATAGTTTTGTTCAAATATTAGCTAACTATCCTTTAAACAAACTTTTTTTTTTCAAATGATATTTATTAACAACTTTTACGTCATAAAATAGTAATGTAGTATACTATCAAAATGTATTTCATTAGTGATTCATATTAAACCTATTTGATATACAATATTTAAATTGTATATATTTAAATTCTATAAATTAGTATATAACCATACTAAGTTCAATTATTGTAAATATAGAAAGTCGTTTAGGATGAAATAATGTATTTTAAAATAATACTTGAATGACATTTGTATATTCAAATAGTTTGGTGTTGAATAAAAATAAACGAAATAAAAACAACAGTTTCTAATCAAAATGTATTATCATTAATAATCCTGGATTTCATTAGTTTAAAAAAAAATATTATTGTAATCTTGCACACTAGACTGGTATTAAAAATTGTTTTATGCTGAAAGTATAAACAATTTTATATTATATCACGCTTCTGTTTGAAGTTCCTTTTTTAATTATAGGTACATCTGACAAATTTAACTGTATTTTTTTTTTTATAAATTAATTTAATTTAAATTTGGGCTTATAGAACTACGTTATAGTAACGTTTTAGACGTCCTCCTCTTTTCAATAAAAAAAATAAATAATAATAATAATCTAAATCGGTGCAGTGAACAAAAAAAAAAAAAAAAAATAAGTAACGGGCGGACCACTAAAGTATTTGTCCATTTGACATTTGGCAGCTGTCATTTAATGGAATTCTAACTTAGTAGTAAAATAATTAAATAATAAGAATAAAAATAAATAAATACAACTAAACTTTGTTGATTTAATGTAATAAAACTTATTTTGTTTTAATCTTATCAATATAAAAATTTTAAATTTTAAAAAATATACATTTTATATTTTAAAGGTATTATTAATGGTGTAAGTGTGTAACAATTAATAACAACAATAATATTGTTAATAAAAATTTTAGTTATTTTGACATATTTTATAGTACTTTATATTTTATAATATTACGTATACTAAATATATTATGTTTTGTACTAAGTACTTCAAATAATTATTTAATATTGATTTCTAAAATAATTATTTAAAGAAGTTATTTTAAATACAAATTACATTTATAGATTCATCATAGTTATAAATTCACTAATTTATTTATAATTACAATTTTAATTAAAAAAAAAATGTAGAATTGCAGTCACAAATAAAATAAAATGTGATTTATTCCTCAGTTAAATTTTTGAAATACATATTTTTTTTTTATTATTTTATCGTATAAAGCAACTATTCTGTGGTACGTCTTATGTTCTACACTGGTTATTTATAAATAATTTATTTTAAACGTACCCTATTTAGAAGTATTAAGTTGTCTTTGATCAAAAAATTATTAAAACTGTAAAAGTATTTGAATCCATTTTTTTAAATTTATTTAAATGATTAAAATATAAATTCTTATAAAATTAAATCACATTTTATATTTTGTGTTTATTAAATAAATAAAATAATTTTGAATGTAGGTATCTAAATATTAAATATCTTAATTATGTTTCGATATAAAATATTACAATTTATTATTTTAAAGAGTGGATGTGTATGGTTTATTTATAATTAATAATGTGTATGCAAATAAATTATGTTAAAATATATGTATAATAATAATAAGATATATTTAATGATTAAATAACTAAATTCAGATTAATCAGTGAGTACAATAAATATGAATAATATATATAATAGCCTAATATACCTATACCTACCTACATAAATAGCACATATCATTAATAAAATATTAATATTTTGTATTGACATTTGGTAAAAATTCTCTGTCAACTATATTATATTATATTTTAGATATTAAGAGCGATGGCGCCAAGTGGCAGCTTATCTGTATCGCAGGCAGCGGACGGGTTTAATGGTTTTATTTTATTGGCGACGATAATAATAATTGAAGCGGCTTTTGTACCGGGCCGAAATGTTTTGTCTTTTGGCACTATCGGCATGGTTTGCATGGTATAATATATTCATATTTATTTATTATATTAAAAGTCAATTTTTACAGCACAATACAAAACAACATATGTGTAGGAGTTGAAGTGAAAAAGTGGGTTCATGATTTATAGTGCGCATGATATTATGCCGGATAATACAGAGAAAACGTAAGCATAGTTTTTGAGAAAATAAGGGTGTAGAACCAGAGGAATTGAGCGAGTCCAGCGATATGGTACTTTGAAAATAATGGGACCATAGAAATGTCGGAGAGTAGATTTTACCAGTTAAGACGTTGGCTAGAAGTACAAGATTAGAAATTCAGGTCTGCGTCAGCAACAGATTTAGGAAACATTGAGACAGGATTACAATCATGTGGAATACAGGGATATACAGTCTAAACGCAATCGCACGTAGTAAGCGTCTTTGGAGTCTTTCAATCGTTGCACATACCGTTGTATATTATAATATTATAACGATTGAATCAATGAAATCTATACAGTAAACTGTGATTTCGAGCGCAATTAATGATATTCACAACTATAACCAGTCTCTAAAAGATAAATTATAGTGTATGATAATGTTCTCAAATGGTACAACACACGTGCAGATTACTGTTGCACGTATAAAATACGAGTCTTTAAAACGATACTAATAATTTATCCAGTGTAAGAAGTGTGATTAATAATATTATATCGATACAATTATAATAAATAATTCCTAACTAACATAATAAACAGTTTTAAACTAAGATCAGTGCAGATTTTTACGGAGATTATTAAGAAAATTTGTCTCGGCTTCATATTTTTAAGAGCACCTACTCCCTCCTCTTAAAATATACAAGCCTAAGATTACTTTTGTTTGGAAAAATCAAATGATTAAATTATCTAGATAAACATTTTTTTATTTTATCGGATTATGTGTACATGTTCAATACCACTTATGGTTTGATCCATTGTTGTACCTACTTATAAACGTATACTATATTTTCAATAATATTATGTAAAACATGGAAAATATATATATATTTATATTTTTTTTTGGCTGTTTCAGTTATTAGTTTGAATATATTGGTTGTTGCAAATGTTAATTGCAACCAACATATTGTTTTTGATTTGTATACTATTTAAAAAAATAAAATTATAGTATTGATGATGATAAATATTTTTAAACAAATTATCAAATAATTAAGGAGTAGTTTTTTTCTTCGAATTTTAAAAAATCTAAATCCGACACTGGTTTTCAATATGTTCGTTTCATAAAAAAAAAAAAAAAAACGCACGCAAAATGATCGCACGAAAGTCAATGTATTTTATAAATTGACAAAATATATAGCTAGTAGTTACCGTACAATATATTTCAATAAAATGTTATGAAACGTATCGGTCGTGTAAAATCGCTATCGAAACAACGCAACGATAACGGTTTAGGTATACCCACCCAACAATAATAAAATAGACCATGTTGTCATAAATAACGTAATTAGTATAGTATAATGAGATTACCTGATTTCGAATCGCAGACACTACCAGCGTCGGGCGTGAATAATTGGTAATATCGATAATAATGATTTAAAAAAAAAAAAATAAAATGAAAACAATAATAGTACGGCGGCGGTGGGTACAATGGTTGGGGGAGAGAAAATCGCCGACCAATGATGTCGTATGGATTTACGAAGATCGCCAAACGTGTGCCAGCGAAACGGCGTGAGGAATCGGCAGGACCGACACCAGAAGACGGTGGTACGCGTTCGCGGCAACGGCGTTACTGAACCGACGTCGGTGGCGGAACGGCGTTTTCCTTCGTGCGGCGAACGACCGGAAACTATCATATACGTGTGGCGGCCACAGCCGTCGCGCGAGATATACGCAAGCGCTGGGACACGACTCGTGTACGACTGCGGAGGACAGGTATTATATCTGCGTAATGATGATAATAATATGTGTTTGACACGGTTTCTGTTTGGAAAAAAAAAATTAAATAATAATAATAATAATGATGATAACAATAATAAATCCACTGCTCTTCTCTTGGACGCGGTGCGTCACAACGATCGAGCATCTCTGTGCAATTAAATACCATATAATTCGCAAAATGCTGTACGTTATTGTGCTCAAATTGCTGCGATTTCACGGAAATAAAATAATTTTTTATTCTACACTGTAATAATAGACAAAGAATCCTACGCTAGAGTTATACCGTGTTTCTTTTAATTGACGATACGATGAATTCATTTGAATTCTAATAAGTTAAATTTCGAATTGATAGTGCCTAAAGGTCTGTGTTTTAAGCTATTTAGACTTTCATATCATTTGAAGGAATGTCGTCTGTAGGTGATAAAAACTTATTTTTTTAGAGTAAAAATCAAATTGTTTAGCTATAAGCTGTCGAGCCAGTGAATTTTTTAAAATATATTGATAGATCTAAATTAAAATTTGAACGAGAGGTTTTTGAGTTGTTTTTTTTTTTTTTTTTTTTGTATCGAGAATAATAAGTCAATTATAATAATTACTCCAGTTATGACTATCCATATGATTATATAGAAATGTTAGTGTTATAAATATTTAAATATTCAAATAATTCATGAATATTTCATAATTTTTAAATATTGTTCGTTTATAACAAAAAAATTCTATATTTAATATTATGTCGATGTTAAATCTACTAAAATTAGAATCTATAATCTATTAAGTACTATGAATCCCTCAATAAACATATTTTAATAACTATTTTAGCTTATATTTTGATTTATATGGATACAAGATTTAAAAAAAAAACCATTTTCCTAACAAATTACATTCAAATAAGTTAGTTTTCGTTAAAAAAAAATAAGTTTTTGTCGCCACATGAAATTCCTTATAAGGTATATAGTATAAAAGAATCTAAATAATTGAAAACATGCCTTTTAAAAGTACTTAAAAATTTCAAAAATAAGAAATAGAATAAAGAAAATGATTTTTATTAATAATAAAAATGGAGTTAAGCATAGTTGGCGAATCGCTCTGTAGATCGTTAAAAATTGAAATTTAATGATTTTTCGATATCAAAAAAATAAAGATTACAAACTATTAACTTAAACAGACGTCAAAAAATAATTTGAACATTATTTGATTATGTAATGAATTATGTAAACCTATTTATTCATAATAATATACTAGTATTTTGTAAATTTCAAATACATCTAACGCTAATTGCAGAGATAAGACATGGTGTGATTTTAAGATTTCTGATAAGTTATGATTCTCTGAAGTCTCAAGTTAAAAATTTCGTAAGAATAAACTTGAAAAATTGAGTTTTGTTTATACATTTTTACGTCATCCAAACAATTCCGGCGTTCGTTTTTTTAACTTTACTAATCGTCGCTGAACACATAATCTTAGGTCGTATTATAATACTACTATTAGGGTAAAATTAATATATTATAAGATAGAGGAAATGATACGATTTTTTTTTTTTACAAAATCTATAAATAAGGTAGGTACCGTTTTTTATCGAATGGAAAGTAACTTGTTCTCACTAAGGCCTCGGGGTGTTAGCGTTATATACATAAATTCGTTCAAATATTAATCGTGAAATAATGTCAGTTATGAACTAGATTCTTTTGAATTATATATGAGAATATTTAACAATATATCATGCATTCTAGCTATTTGTACAACTACTATATATTACGGATGGTTCGTTTTGACGTTTTGAAGTGATGCATATAGTTCACGCCCTTCACGGCTCGAAGAATCTATTCAATTTTTGACTAACTATTTATAAATTAAATAACCAGTGATCAACATTTTTATATAGATAGTGCGAACAGAGGCACTAAACGATTTGTTGATCATGACAAGAATGATTAGAGGCTCTTAATAAATTTTCTTTGACGTATTAATAGTTAACGTATTTTAAAATATAACTTTTTTTAAATTAATTTTATGGTGAGGTCACAATTATAAATTAATTTTACTAACTAGTATAAAATATAATGGCTTGTGTATTATTATGTATGCGATAGGCTGATGGAGTACCTACACTGTGGATTATTATTTTTGGCATTACATGACTGGGACATATATAATATAATATATAGGTATATAAAAAAAGAAAATAAATATATTTTCGTATACTTCATATAAATAAAACAAAAAACTCATTTAATACCATTGCTTAACAGATCAAAATTCAACTGCAACATTTATTATTTTCATGGTATGTACAACCTACAATAATGATCGTTAGTTGACTCGCAAATAATATTTGGATTAATATTTATAAAAGTGAGAGGTGATACAATTTGCATAAAATATCAATTCGTTTTTTGACATTTTATGTTTATTATTTTATTTTTTTAAATAAAATGTTTAATTTTATTTGACAAAAATTTTCGTCTGACAAAATGGGGAATGAGTAATAAATGAAATGTAATATAAAAATCGTGGTTATATACTTTTTGACGTAAAATTTAAAAGTGCTGTCAATTTGAGATTTTTAAAATAAGTAAAATCACTTATGCGTTAAGTAATCGTGCGATAACGGTAATCGTGATTTGTTGATTTAATAAAAATTTTGATTTTCGATATGTGATATTACAATAAATATAAGAGTACGATAATATATTATAATATATGTTTAAATAATGAAAAATCTTTGACTGAATACAGAGGTATGTAATTTTTCTACCTCTGCTGGTCTAAATGAGAGATAATGTGTTTTTCGCATATTATATTAAATTCAAATGAAATGACAAAAAAAAATAACTTGAAAACTCCATAAGTATTAAGACTATAATTGTTTGTTGATAAAATCACATACAACTGAAAACGTTCTTCCTAAATTGTTATATTAGACGGTGCAAGTACATGTGATACAGAATAAAGTGAACGTGATAATTGAAAATTAAATTCCATTGCATAATTTCTTTCCTCTTAGAATGAAATTCGATAATTATAATTAAATGTCAGTGATAATAATAACTAACATATATTTCTTTATTAAGCCAAATATATGTGTTATTTATAGAAATGTGAGTTTGTATTATACAATGGTATAATACTGTATTAATGTATTATACAAGATATTATCACATGGTATAAAATTATTTGATACAGAAGGTATAAAAAAAAAAAATAATAATAAGACATTACACTTAGTTATTATTGTCATAAATAATATTAATTTTATTATTTATTATTAACATTTATAATTGGAACATGTTTATTTCCCGTTGCCTTATCGACTTAATCAAACTGTATATTATTATTGATGTTATTGTATATTTTGATATTTTAGATATTAATTAATGAGTTGTAATTATTTACTAGTATTCAATATCTAATGTGTTCTTGCGGTTTCTACTGCCTACTAGCCTACTGGCTAATGTATACTTGTTTTGATATTCTGAATTAACCATTAGATTAAATTTAAAAATGGTTAATCAATAAATTTAAATTTAAATTTAATCTTTTTAAGTATTAAATATTTTTTTTTATTAAAGTTTTGATATTAAATATAAGTACTTAGTACTTTCAAGTTTCAAGAAGTAAAACGTGGGACTAAAAATCAGTAGCTATATTATTGACTGGAAATAAGATGATTTAAATCCTATTTATTTTAAAATTGATTATTTGATATTTTAAGAATATATTTGAATATAAAATATTAATTGTATTAAAATATATTAAATTTAAATAATTTCTAGTCACTAGGTATATGAATGTTTGATACATTGTATATAGTAGCATGACTAAATATTAATTTGGTGAATTCGGTCTAAAATAATATTCTAGTATTATGTATTTTTTAATGTTTCCTGGACTTTAAGTCATTTTTCAATTAATTAATTTTAACATGATTCATATTTCATAATCAACAATGGTTTTATACCCTGTGTGAAATTTCCAATAATTTAAGATACTACAAGGTTCTATATCGTATAATACTGCTATAATATCGGTATAATACAGTATTATACAAAAATTAAAATACCGTATTTTAACATCTCTAATTGTTTATAATATATAACATAATGTGTCTATATTTGACACCGATATTGTTTTCTTTTGTCTTAGTAGATACAATACATGACCACTATTATTCAACATATTTGCTATTACTGTATTAGTATTACGTAACGCCCCTTTTGATTTTTTTCCGGTTAAACGGCATATAAGTATATGTATAATACATTAAAGACTCTTTAAAAAAAAACTAGCCAACATCAGTTTGTGCAGAAATGTCCGGAACAAAAACCGGATACAATAAATAAACAGGATACACACACGCGCGTATAATATAATATAATATATATATATAGAATGTACCAACATAATCATCATTCGTGGCGACATCATAATATTATATTTTGTTCGTGCTATTTAACCCTGTGAAATATAACATAATAGTGGCTGGCGTTTGGAATGAAAACCATATCAATATGAGTATTTTGTTTTAAATTCTATTTCCATCTGCTTTTCCGTCATGAAATTTATGATTTTTACACGACGCCGATTATTACTAGAAAAATAATCGGTCTTTACAATTTGCGATCGGATAGTACAATATTATTAATGATACAATTATTTCAAAAATAACATTTATATGGAAACAATGCGATAATACATTAATACCGGTCTCTTTCTATATATAATAGGTATCTATATCCGCCTATACGGAAACGACGTGACTCTAATTTTTCCATCGCTCTTCGCCGAACGCCGTTCAGTGCCAACCACCCGCACCGCCATAGAAAATCGACACCGACTCGCCGGCGGCGGACCAGGGTTAAAAACATTTCCGGTG